TCTTAAACTTTATTTTAGTAAACTTAAAAAGATTAAATAGTAGAATTTCTAGACTAGAAGAAAAACAATTTCTAGTAAATAAATAAAAAAGAATAGAAGAGATACAAATTACTTTTAGAAGCATCAGTTTTTCAAGATAACAACAAGAAAAACAGATCTGATATTTTTACAATAAATAATCTAAACTAGGGTAAAAGGAAATAAATAGAAAAAGAGAAAATAAATTAACAATAAGATAATTATGAAATAGGTATACTAGGATTAAGTGAAAACAAATTGATTAAAATAAAAGCAAAATAGGTATTTAGAAATCAGATATCATATAAATATTTTCACAATATTAACATAGACATTATATATAAAATAGGAGTCAGTCTACTAATCAAAAAAGGTTTTGAAAAGAAAATAGCACCAATAGAAAAATATAGAAAAATATATAATAACAGTTAACTTATTGATAAAAAGAAACAAAATCAGTATTATGCAAGTATACTATATACTCTATCAAACAAACAAAGAAACAAAAAAGTATAAGAGAAAGTGAAAAATATTATCAAGAATAAATGTAATAAGGCTTTATATAATATTAATGATGAATTTCAATGTAGTATACAATCCAGCTAAAGATAGAACATTATCCTTCAAAGTTCAGATTATTATAATGTTCAAAAATCTCTCTATTCAAATTTCTCAATAAATGGAATTTCTTAGATATATAGATAGTATAGAAAGATAAAAACAAAATTTCAGCAAGATGGGATGCCATAAGTAGTAGTCAAATTAACTATATATGGATATTATAAGGCCTAACAAGATATTCAATCCTACAATTCAACAGTTAGAGCATGAAGAAAGTTACAAATAAAAAAAGTTAATAAATTTATTTTTATACAAATAAGACATACTGTATATAGTACAATTTTTTACTTATTCTGATAGGCATTTTTTTTTTTTTTAATAAATAAAATAAGTTTAAAATGATAATAAATAAAATATAATTTACTGTATATTTAATTAATAAAAAGATATTGATATATGGATATATACTGCATATTAATTTGCATGATTTATTAAATTGTTGTTTTCTATACTATAAATTATTCGCAGAATCATTAAAGTCCATCAATTCTGGACTAATTTATAATTATGAAAATAACGAAAGCGATGGTAAACTTGATGTCATCGATATTAATTTAAATGAAAAGAATTTTATCTTAATATTAAGCTAACGAACCTCTCAATGATTTTAATTCATTGATTAACACAAGAATACCAATCAAATTGCCAAAGAACTTTAACGAAAGGAATATTCCTTGTTCTATTACGTAAGCCAATGTGATCCGTGCTTGTTTTTCTGATATTCGCATTAAAGTAAAAATGTCCGAAAATAGAGGGGCACCTCGCAGCGTTTCATGAGAACAAATATTAATAATAAAAAAGGATTCGCGCGAAGCATCTCACACCGGAATCGAAATGAGATTACCTTTACCTTCAAAAATACTTTTGCAACAAATAGTATACATTTTTTTTATAATATATAGAGTACTAGAACAACCATAGTACTAGAAACCTCAACCGATAGTTTTGCCATCTCTACTTTAAAACTCAAATGCGATTTAATTTTTTTTCTTTTAATAACAACCTTTGAAAGTAGACATCGTGTAAAGATTTCAATTGTACAATGAATTGTAAAATGACATTTTGTGCTAAGAAGTGTGTTCGGAGTAAACTTCCATTTATGGTGACGATGATGGTTAGACTATGCACGTGCATATGCACGGTCGCGAACATAACCGCGAAAAAAATTTTCCGTGTCTTCTCAATAAATTTTATCTTTTACGGTAATCAAGTAGACTTTATACTAATCTCGGCGAGATCCTTCAACTGAGCGGGTAAATATTTTACAGTACTTTACTCGATGGTGGTGTTTCCGTAAGAATTCTGGGTCACACCATTAAGAGTTAATTTTTGATGATTTAGTTAGCACTCGTCCAAATGGTGTTGTACATGCATACCCGGTGGGTGGTATTGTTATTCAGAAAAAATTAATGCAAGTGTACTGCGATAATGGGAATCAAAAAGGTTGAAAAGAAATTGCAAATGAGCTTGTTTAAAGCGCGATCGGCTCATCCAATATTCATTGGTTGACCGATAATTTGCTGAGATTTTTATTTAAACACCGAGTTGAGGTTTTTTTCATTGAATTTATCTATTGAGGGATCCTTCGAATGAAAGAGTTATAAAGACAAGACATTGTTCATTTCTTCATCCAAGCTTGCGATTTCTTTCCGTTTGCGTTTTCGAAATGAATCCAACTTATCATTCTTCTACTCATCGATGTAATGCCTCCACACGTACACGTACCCGTACCCATGTGACACTGGCTTGCACAAATTGTAGACGACTAAGGAGAAAATGTTCTGGAAAATCCACGTGCTTAAACTGTGCTGATCAAAATCTTGAATGTGAATTTGTTAAGCCTGAAATCAGACGCGGGAGAAAACCCAAAAGGTCATTTAATGCAAATGAACCTAAGCACGCGTTAGATGTTGGTGTGGTTTATACATCCGTGGAATCACAACCGCAACCACCGTTTGCATACCCATCAAATTCGACTATGACTGACAACAATGATATCTTCATAATTCCGCAATATTCTCAGCCTCATAATCAAAATATCCAAGGTTATTTGGATGTTAATCTTTCCACTGCTGACGATCAACAAACTTTGAGTACACCTTTGCAACTTGGAGTTAATGAAATTAATACTATCAATAACGAATATAGTTCCTGTATTAATTATTATAATTTTTTTTGAAGGCAGTTGTCAAGATTACAATTTGTTGACTTGACTTGACTTATTTTCTAATTTACCTCGGTACGTTATGGGCCTCCTTATTATTCGTTTTCAAGTTAATCCCAACATACTTTAATGCAAATCCAAGTAATCTTATTTCTATGTTAAGAAACCAGGAATTTTATACAAAAGGGATATGATATGATAAGGACTACAAAACTTGAATAAGAAAACAACAATTTTTGGTAGGAATCGGTAATAAAAATATCCGTGATTTATTTCTCGGGGTGATGTTTTCATGTAAAAAGAAAAATAAAAAATTCCATATAGAATAATATTAGAAACGAAAATAAACGTTTTCTCCTCCTTTTCTTACAATAAAGTTTTGCGGAATGGAAATAAATGTTTCATTTTCTTTGTGCAAAATTTCTTATAGAAAAAAGCTATCTAAATTACTTATTGACTTTATAAAAGTGATACT